CAAATATTAATACACAGCAAATCTGTTATTAAAATATTTTGCATCAATGAATCTTTTGTGACTTTCTACTGATTCATTATTATTTTGTAGTTCATTTTAATCACTTCGGATTTATTAAAATTAATTCTTTTCATAATTTGTTACTTCAAATAAAATATATTGCACTTTTTTTGAACCTACGTTTAATATGTAAATACGAAGTTAAGTCTCTTGTATAAAAACTCTTCAAAAATCATATATTTTATGTTATCATTTTTTCTATTATTGTACTATTTTGTCTCATACTACTTAAGTATAAACTCCATTGTCGTTTAAGTATATATCACTTATTTCAGTGGAGTTGTAAGTTTCATATAAATAATATCTAGAATTTGTTGAGTGACTCTTACTTTTTAAATCAATTTGAAGGAAAGACCACTAAAAGCAATAAACATATTATATGTCAAAGTGTTAATATATTGAAAGTTTTTTCTAAAATACTTCCGGGATGTCACTTCTAATCGGATAATCACTAAAAAAGTTGATAAAATTTAATAACTAGCCCAACACTTCCGATCTCCTAATTGTTGAAAGATACCAGAGATATTAATCATCAACCACGTGATAATTTGGGGTCATTTAAAAAAGAACAGACTAGACAAAGACGCTTGATGTTTGGATATTAAAGCAAATAAATTTAATTGGTAATATTATCAACATTCAATTACCAATAGTAATTGAACCAACAGCAATTGATGAAAAATTAATTAAGTAAAATAATAAAATAATAATAGAATAATAAACAAACAAAATTATTATTAAGAAATATTTGATCATTAAAACAATAAATTTTTTAAAATTACATAGTATATAAACATTAAAGACCAATGACCATCAACAAACGACTTCAAAGCAAGGCTATGTTTAGTGTTTGGTGGGATTGAAAATAAATTATCTATTATGAATTATTCCATCTTGGTACAACTATCTTGGTGTTTCATCCTCTACAGTTCACAACGCTACGGTTTGAACGAAACAATTAAGGAAAAGCGACCAGAGTTTGCTAACGGAGTAGTGACAATATCCAGATACATCTTTTATGACTTTTATGAACAAATTCACAAAGTTTTTATACATCTATCGAATGGATGGATCTTATACCATCAGATTATTATTTTTAAAGATGAAAGTCACTTGGTCAAGTTTTTGCCGGTTAAGCGGTAGAACCTCTTCACCGCTGACATTATCCACTTACTCAAAATAAGGCAAAAAGGCACAAATAATAGTGGTCATTTAAAAATTTTTAACAGTAATTATCAATAAAACAAATTATTTCTCAAAAATATTTCAAATAATTACACATGTGAACTTTTTTTATCACCACAAATAATATATATAAATATATTTTATTTATGCGCTTATGACAAAAACGGGTGTAGTTGTCGTTTGAATTGATCATATAAGTTCTCACTTTCATTTATTCTACAATAAATTCAATTGGTCTTATTATTAATACAGCATAATGATGCTTAAATCTTTAGATTATACAGCGATAGATATGTACTTAGATAAAGATAGATACAGATACTTCAGAGAGATGACAGATTGTATTCGATTTATTTATTTGCCCTCATAGTTTGCCCAATGCTTTTGTTTCATTGCAATTATATATTTCTAATATTTATTTGATAAAATTCTAATAAATTTCATTATTATTCACTAAATTACCATTACCACTACCATTCATTACCATTAGGTGCAAAATAAATACTTTTCTAACTAGAATATTTATGTATCTTTACACATCTCTCCATTTTTCATTGCAGCAATTTTATTTTTTATATTCGACATATCAAGAATAATGCCACCAAATTTTTTGTTAAAATACTACAATAGCTTGACTTTTATTGAATATTAAAATCGATTGAATAATGAATAATAACGAGGACTATTGCTATCAATAGTACCTGTAGGTCAATTCATAATGCGAATAATAAAATGATAATGATGGAAATTCGATTCCTACGAAAATAGTATTATATATCTGGGTATTAGTTGAGTTGTCACTAATAATACACTGCATACATGTAAATATATTGTCCGACTGAGATGAGCATAGAACTCTAACCAATTTCTGCATTTATAAAATATATTAAGGTACTAATTAAAAATAGCATGCAGTATTCCATCTGAGTATATGTACATTTTATGCAATTAAGACCATCAATATATTATCAAGAGGAAGTAAGAATCATTTAAAATCAATGTAGCTATTATTTAGTGGTGCTGGATAGATATTCGCAATATTGGATTACATAAATCAAAAATGTATTACTGACATATACCCATGCCAATGCAAAAACCATTCCTTAAAAATTCTTTAGAAATGTCATAAACAAATAACACCGAAAACAGAAAGCACAATTACTAGTAACTTTTTTACACCCACGTATTTAAATTTCGAGTTGGTTCAGAAGTACTTTGCGATGCTGCACTCCAAAACTTCAAATAAGGAAGGAGGAATTTAGTATGCAAATTGCAGTGCTTAAAATTCCGCAAATTGCTTAAAACCTTTTGTTGATTGTTGTTACAAAATACAATTAAACTGATTGAAATTTCAATAGTAAAGCAAGTGAATAACGCAACTAAATTGCCAGTGAATATAACATAATTAAATGCTTTATTTGGATAATACGAACAATGCTTACTTTGCACTAATGCATGTATGAAGCAGTAACCCCCAACCAAAAAAAAATTACTCATACGCCATGAGTAAAAAAAGCAGTTGCGTTTTAAAGTGTTGAAAAAGACTTATTTTAAGCTGCTACGATTAATCTGTTAATGGAACATACAATATTATATATACATATATTTTAATATTAACTGTTTAATAAAAATAAATAAATATTTTATGGTGTGTGTATATGCGCTCGTGAATATGATTTAAACTTACGGATTCCAATAAATAAATTGTCACTGCTCTTAATAAAAACCTTCATATATTATTATTAATATTGAGATAAGTGACAAAAAGTAAATTAAATTTAATTTTATTATTAATGGTTTTGCATTTATAAAGACACTACTTAACTTTTTATAATATCACAGCATATTAATATTAATATGATAATGAATACAATTGTAATCATAATTATTATATTGAATTTAATTATGGTATTCAATTATGGTATTCAGCATTATCATAGCGATAATGGCCATTAAGTTATATTAAGTGTTTGTGCAACACAGTCGGATTAATTAATAATGTATCAAGGCTTTCATATGACTGAATTCCACATGATTGACTTTACAGTTTGTGTATAATTTCTGCTTCTAGATAAATATTTTATTGATTCATTGTAAATTTCTGCAAATTTAATAAAACTTTATTTGCTTTATGGTTGACTTAAGTTTGACAATATTTGATTTTCATTTTATAATAATCTTCGCCATTGGCACTGTCTGCGACTTACTTTACTACATAATTAAATGCACACATAACTATAATGAGAGCATATTTTTTTATTGAATGTTCTATATATGTATTTTGTAGTCAATAATTTAATTTAATAAAAAAACTGTCAATGCTTTTATTTATACAATACATTATAAACAACTTTAGGTGAAAAGTTTAAAAAGGACTGCGTTATTACTTCAGTTATATAGTCGGAAATTGCAGAGTTCTGGTATCGATTTCGGATGAAAAATTAACATTAAATCACATACTGAAAGAATGTGTTACTATAAAATTTTGACATTGTAAAAATTTTTCTTATATAGAGCTTCATGTCATTTGCCGTGGAAAATAAATGCCAACACTAGATTTTACTCTTCTATGTCCGTCTGAATAATTTGAGTACAACAAAATGAAACCTCTTGTAAAGGACTACATTATAAAGTGAACTTATACATATTTTCACATTTTTATAGAATATGACATCATCACTTTATAGAAACATACAATTTTAAATTTAAAAAAAAAATTCAGTATATATATATAAAGTGCTGCTCAATTACAAAGTTTAAACAGAAAACTCTAACAATAAAAAAAATAAGAAATATGAATAAATAACAGTCAGAGTGCCAACTAACCACATCAAAAAAAAATTTCAACATAGAAAATAACTGATTTTTCTTTTTAAACAGCTTCAAATATATATTTAATACTACCTCTTTTTTATATTTACTTAAGAGAAATTAGCATATTAACTGATATATATTATTACAATAAAAACTAAGCAATATTCTATAAGATATACAAAAATTATTAAAAAAAATGTTACTGTTTTATACTCTATTATACTCTTTATACTTTGTTCTATTACTCCATTTCTTCAATTTGCCAATAACAGATGGAAAGCACTTAAGTCATGTGCAACTTTCAGGTTAATATGGCCCAACTATAATAAAAGAATATGTCCTCGGAACTCAGTAAAAGAGATAGTGTGAACACTGCAAGGCTCACTGCAGTTCTTGCTGGTCATTGGTGTGCAGGAACTCACGCAGATAAACTGCGCATTTTCCATAATCCTCATTGCAGAAGTTTTGGAAACCCGCAAGAGAAAGAAACCATAACACATTTTCTCTTTGAATGCCCAACTTTGGTGTCCAGAAGTTAAAGGTTCTTCGGGAGATACTTTTCTGATAGTTCATCAGAGTGTTCATCGGTGAAAATGAAAGACCTATTAAATTAACTTAATTCGGTGGGATGGTTATGTTATTGAAGATTTTTAAGTTTCTAACAAAAGCCGATTGAACATCAAAAATATTTTATTTTTATTATCAATGAAGTTCGATTTTACTCAAGATCCAGTTAAGCTTGCACCTTTGAAAAATTATTGTTTTGCGCTTTTTTAGAGACAATAGAATTTTTCCTACGATTTTTGTGGTATTTTTTATATTAAGAGATACGTATTTCGTTTCTTTAGCAAACATGTTATGAATAAATAAATAAATATGATTACCTCAAATATGTGAACACATATTTGAAAATATTTTTCTAATATTTCTTAAATTAATCCAGTGGGAAAACAACGCTTTTATTTCATGCAAGTATTTGAAGCATTCCTTTTTGCGATAGAGAAGGATGAAGAATTCGGTGAAGAATATGAGAATATTTTCAATCTATTTATTCGTAGTAATTTGCTGAAGATATGAAGCTCATACCGCTCAATAAGAAACATATTTTATTAACCCATTAAAGTTTCAATTTTTCGGTTTGAGATCAGCAACCAAGAGAAAAATACTTCATTTTAATCGAAGTGTCATTAATGAACGTTTGCTTTCACTGAGACAGCATTTAAGTTTATATCTTCTCCAGGCTATGTTTCATCAAAAATGATTGTTCACTGCTTATTTTGTGGTAGTCGCCTTTTTTGATGCATACAACTTTGACTATGAATCCTTTCAAAAACCTATGTAAACAATAAAAGCGCATTAAATGGATTTCAATACTCGGAATAGAGTAATACAGAATTGAAAAGGATTTGCATTCAAAAAAGAATTTATATGGAACTTACTTTGGTCCTTCCTTTAACATCAACTTTTGTGGAGTTAATTCACAAGCAAAACATACATTAGTTACGGCACTACTGTTTTACTTAAAGCCATTTTTCACAGATAGGTTAAGTTAAATTATGCGTCAAGACTGGAAAGGAAAATTTTCTAATCATAAAAATCGTCAACGCATCTGTAAAAATTGCACTTATTGATATGGCATATATTACTTATAAAATATTAGATATGCCATGAAACCAGCAAGGATTCTTTCTAAAACAACATTTTTTTTTATTTTTCATATTTTTATTTTTATTTTAATTTTACTGACATTTATTAAATTTGAGTATTTAAAATTACTCATAAAATTTACAATATAGGTATATGTATGTATCAGAATTTATGTAAGTACACAGAAAATATTTCATTAAAAGTTTTCATTTGCATTGAGATATGCATAAAATATTTTATATATAATTCTTATATAATCTTATAATCTTAGATATTTTTCATATAATACTACATCTTTGTACAAGTTTTAATTTAATTGCATATATATATATATATATATATATATATATATTTATGTATGAGTATATATATATATATTGTTTTTGTATATAATCATTAAAACCTTACAGTTTGTGATATTTAACTTAATTAATATGATTTTATTAATTTGTTTAAAACTTAATTAAACAATTACTCTGATTATTATTTTTTGTTATCATTATCAGCTTAAGTATAAAATAAATTATATTTTTCTAAAATATGTTCATAAATTTCATAATGATTTCTATTATTTATATTGATTTTCAAATTCTTTTCATACACAAAAATTTACTAATTACATCTAATCCTTAATCCTATTAACACAATTTCAAGAAAATCATAATGCAGCAATAATTTTTATTTATTTAATATTTAAATATTTAATTGAGTTGTAATCATTAGACTATAAAAATATGCTTTAAATTAAATATTTTTAAATATTAAATATTTTTAAATATTAAATTGTTTTAAATAAATTCTTGTTACTATAAGAAGTTAGTATCTTTCGAAGATGGAAGCATAAAATATATTGTTTTATCGCTGTTTATATTTTATATAAATTTTTATAATTTATTTTCTATTTTATTATTTAAAATTGAATTATTTTCTCGCATTATTATAGAATAATCAACACATAAAATATTTTTAATCGTCATTCAAGCTTCCATAATAGTAAATTGACCTTATATATATGCTCATTTAATTTTAAATCTAAAATTAAAAATTCTTTTTATATACTATATTATAGTTTATTTTTTAGGATGTGTTATTTTTGTATAAGATAGAAACTTAAGTTGATTGAATGCAATATTATTTATTATTAATTTATTTTATTCATTACTTATGTTTCTGCTGTGCCATCAATACGTTTCCTAATAAAAAAATAAGTGAAATAATAACCTAATAAGATTTCGATATTAGGTTGCATCCTTGACCTAAATAACAATGTCTTAAATTTTATGTTAATACATTATAAATACAAATAATGGTTTTTAAACTGATGTCTTTAATCAATTATGTATGTCCTTAGAGATAATATTAATTGTAACATAATCACATCGTCCTCACCAAATTAAAGTGAATACTTCGGTTCATGGAAGATAATAATAATGAAATAATAATATTTAACTTACTATACACTCACATATACATACCCATATATGTTAGGACAGATATTAACAAGTGTATTATAGATAATTGCATTAATTTAATATATATTATACTGAGCTGGTCTTCTTTAATAAAATTTCAATTAAATTTGAGTAGATAAAGTACTAAACTGGAAAACTGTACAGTTTTTACAAAAAAAATCAATTTAATATTCTAAGTTTTGCTTATAATAGGAATTTGAATAAGAAATAATTGAAAACATATACATAAGACATCAATTCAATTGGTAATGGAATTCCATCACCAAATTTCAATAATCAAACTATATGCAAAACTTTATGTGACTTCTACAGAATGGCATCAGTAGCCAACTTAATTTGGCAAATGTGTTAATTCATGTTTCGATGTTGTGTATTGGTCAACATGATTATGTGATTTGTTGCCACTAAGCTTTTATGTAGGCTTGCACAAAACATTGTTTATAAGGACAATGCTCAAACTCTCAATGCTTTGAGAAAGTGAATGCAACATGTTGTAGTAGAGATACTGCAATCAATGTGCCCACAATCATCGAATAGTCAACTCAAACAGAAACAGTACTGTAAGATATCCAACGCAAGATTAACGAATCAAGTATTTCACATCTAAGGACAAAGAGTGTTCCTAACAAAATACTGAAATAAGAATTTAATTGTATCTCAAAGGCAAGTGCATTTTATATACTTTGTTTCGGAAATACAAAATGAATAACTCTGTATTGTTTACAAGGTGAAATGGGAATGGAAATTCTACAGGGAAATGGAAATATGAATAATATTATAAAATAATATCAACAGTACTTTAACTCCATTAACATTTCGTTATTCTTAAATGTAGAAAACAATTATTACAAAATATTTTATAGTCGTTTTACTATAATCAAAAATTTGGCACAGCTCTGGTACGTCCATTTAACAACAGTTCATTTGAGTAACTTTGCTTCTTTGCTATCATATGTCAAGATAGCGGGCTTTGAAGTTGGAAATTGTAGCATGAAAGTGTTTGACACTAGATGGCATATAAATTTTTTTTAAGAATGAGCAATATCGGCATAAAACGTAATGGTAAAAATTGTACAAAATGCATGTGTTTACCGTTGTTGTTTGCAAAATAATAATATGATAGAAGACTCATAATTTAAGTCTAATGTATACATATATTTGAGTACAGTAGTTTATTATGTTTCTCACTTCTTAAATACAATATACATTATTTTATTTATTACTTTATATTTTTCTTAATTTTTTAAACTAATAATTACCCTGTTGATACTCTTTTACTGTTCATTTAAACATCTCAATAAACTGTGTTCTCAAATAAGTCTGGCAACACAAGTGGTGGGCAATTATGTGGGCTACAAGTTACACTAGGTGTATCATCACCGATTGAACTTTCTGTGCAAATACATTGCAGGCAATTTCCAACATCCTGTGGCAAAATATCACCAATCTGATAAAATATACCTTTAAAAACAAATGAAAAAATCTTCTCAATAATATTAGTGAATAAATGATTTTTAAAAAGTAAGATTAAAAATGTAGTAAATTATTAACACTATTATTGTTCAATATAATATTATATATATTTAAAAGCAATTGTATTCATTGGTAATATTATTATGTTTATAATTTTTATATTTGGATTTTATTTCTTCTATATTAAAGGAAATTCTGTAAGTTCTATAAGCATACTAGATATTATCTTTATTGAGCAAGTTTTCAACTAGCCTTGAATTGAAGCCATACTTTTCTTATCATCTATTTACAGTCAACGTGTTACTCGATGCTTTTAACATAATTACTATTATTAGGTCTTTATTACATTAAAGTATCAAGTATAATAGTTCTTTTTGTCATCAAAATTTGTTGCAATGAATCAAAAAATACTTACCCATCACGTTGCACTGTTTATCTGGACTTAATCCATTTGTTGCTGCTGTTTTATTCACCACATTCAGTGCATCTGCAATTAATTTATTTGAAGTATCAATAACGGGTGCCTCATTTGTTGTTGACATTAAATTAATTGGAGAACTATTGTTGTGGCTCGTTGGCATTGCTCTTATTGCATTCGAAACTGGCGACGTTGTTTCTGCAACAGAAGGACGTAAAATTAAATCCGCTTCCACTATTATTATTTCCTTCTGCATATCTTCATAATTTTGCGTTTCCTGTGTCTGTTGTTCAACACGTCGTGACTCATCGGCTTCTGTTAGTAAAATGTCAATATTTATCACGCTGTCATTGAATTCGCTTCCATAGTCATTGTAAGCAGTACCTAGAAAGCCATTTTCCGACTCTGTATATATGTTTTTATTTGATTCCTTGTCTCTGTCACTTTTCTTCGCTACTCTAGTCGGTATGGTACCAACAATAATTGTAGTTGATGGCGCTTCTTGCACTTTGTTGGTATTATTAAGAACTTTCAATTCTTTTAAATCAAAAACCGTTTTCTCAATGCCGTTGCCATTATGGAAATCATCGTACTTGTTGTTTATGAAATGTGTCTCATTGGATGACAGCCAACGATGAAAAGCATCATCCTCAACTTCATCGTTTCTTTTGTTAATAAAATTATTATTTTTGTTTTTACTGCTCAAATAATCATACTGTTTATTTTCATTCTTATTGTCAATATACAATTCTGCATTCTTGAGAGTCTGCTGAAAATTTTATATAAAATTTTTTAAATCAATAGATTGAATATGATTTAAGATTTAAAAAATATTTGAAACTGAAAATGTGTCTGATAATGTCAGTCTTAGAATCCTGGTAGAAAAAACAAGAGTACTTACTTGTATATTATCAATAGTAAAACAGATTGGAAACGACAATAGACAGAAACTCGGAATCAAATCTATTCTTTCATTTTGTTGTGGTGAAGGAGTTAGTAATCTTGTGTTCAAATTTTAATTGAGACAATAACTTTTACACAAAAAAGCTTGAGATTGACTCTAGTTGGATTCCAGCATCTAGTTCACGATGATTTAACAACAGATTTTAATCGGCTCGGCTATTTTGCATAATTTTTTTGCCTACGCTATTTGCCGATATATATTTTTTTTCAAGAAGGTAACGCGTCATCTGGCATACCGCCATGTACAAGTTTCCAAATTTTAATGCCGGTATCTTAAAAACTAAATTATTTTTACATATGATAAAAATGACCTATAATACTTGTATTTCCTGATTACAAAATAAAACTTTTGCTTTAATAAACACCAAATGCATGACGTATATTGATGAGACAGGGACTTTAAGAGAAAGTGTAGGACTTTTACATGTTCGAAATAAATTTTTAACAAATAAAATATATATGATAAAAATTTCAAAGTATTACTATTTTCTTCCTATTTGATCTCT